TGCATTTGGACAATGCATCTGCTGGCTTATTGTCCATGTCTGGTCTATAGTGTATTTCAAAGTCATGCCCCAACAGCTTGGACAACCATCTCTGATGCTCCTAAGTCACCATCCCGTGCTCCAGCAAGTACTTCAAACTCCGCTGATCTGTCCTGACGATGAAGTGTTTACCTAACAAGTAGGGTCACCACATCTGGATGGCTAACAAAATGGCCATCAAATCCCTCTCATATACTGATTTCAACGAGGCCCTAACTATAAATACCTGGCTGAAATAAGCAATAGGTCACCGACCCTACTTGAGTACTAGTCCCAATCCATATCATGAGGCCTTTGTCTCCACTATGAAAACTTAGGTGAAATCTTGTAGGGCAAAAACCGATACAATGGTCATGGCCTTCTTCAAGCTCTCAAAAGCATCCGTGGCTGCCTCTCCCCATAAGAACCCATCCTTCTTCAACTGTTCTGTCAATGGCCCTGCTATTGAGTTGTACCGGCCCTGCTATTGAGTTGTACCCCTTCACAAACATCATGTAGTATCCTGTTAATCCCATGAAACCCCTCAACCCCTTAAAAATTTTTGGGCACTGGCCACTTTAACATAGCCTCAATTTTAGTCTGATCCGCCACTGCCCCCTCTTTAGAGACAGTGTGCCCGAAGTATTCCACAGTGGCTTAGGCAAAGCAATATTTCTTCAAATTTGCCCTCAGTTGGTGCTTCTGTAACTCCTCTAGCACCCTCCTCAAGTGCTCCCAGTGATCCTCGTCTGTCCTTCTGTAAATAAGGATGTCGTCGAAAAACACCAACACAAATCACCTAAAGTAAGGCTTGAAGACCTTGTTCATGAGGGACTGAAAGATGGTTGAGGCATTAATAAGGCCAAATGGCATCACTAGGAACTCATAATGTCCTTCATGAGTTTTGAAAGCAGTCTTTGGCACATCCTCTCTTTTCATCCTGTTCTGATGGTATCCTGACTTCAGATCTATCTTAGAGAAGATAACTGCCTCACTTAACTCATCCAGCAGCTCATCTATCACTGGTATAGGAAACTTTAAGGCATTGTTTTCTTATTCAATGCTCTGTAGTCAACACAAAACCTCCAACTCTCATCTTTTTCTCTAACCAGTAGCACTGAGGTAGAAAACAAGCTAACATTGGGCTTGACGATCCCTGCTTCCAACAAGTCCAACGAAAAGTCAAAGATTCGGATGGAAAATTTTAGCAAAACAACACCTTTGATTGAAGAAAATCAACTAAATGAAGAAACAAAACAAGATACAATTGAAATAGTCTTTGAAAATAGCTAGAAATTTCTACAAATCCAATGGAAAATCGGATAGAAATAGAAATTTTATTGCAAGAACACAAACTAACAGAAAAAAATGACAAGATACAATTGATCCTCAATTCGAGAGGAGGATCAATCTCTCAAATCTCTAGACGCCGCTAGAGCCCAAAAATCTAAACCTAAGTCTAAGATATATCAAATTCAGCCAAAATTCAAGATGCCCTAACCCTAGGAAAACAAATTATTTAATGCATATAATTCAAAAGTAAATCTCTAAAAAATTTCCCTCCCTACTCCCTCAAAAAATGCTTCCTAAATAGCTTCTTTGGACCCAGCGGCTTGAGCGACACGTACAGGAGAGGTGGAACATCTGCCTCTATTCCTTTTGGGTCGCGTGAGCCGGTCCATAAGGGACCGGCTGGACCAGTCTAACAATACTCCCCTCCCAAAGTGTCACCTTGTCCTCAAGTTGGAACGAAGAAAACTGTTGCTAAAGCACTTGATCAATAACATTGGACTGAAAAATGGACTGATACTAGGTTGAATGGTCCCTGCTTCCAGCATCTCCCTAATCAATCTTTCGATCTCACCCTTCTGGATTTGGGGATGACGATACGAATGAACAGTGAGAGGTGAAACTACTTCCTTCAAGATGATAGCATACATGTGTTCCCGCAGAGGAGGCAACCCCTGAGGTGGCTGAAAAACCTCAGTAAACTGCTAAATCAATGGTTGTACTGAAAGAGGAATGCCCCTTCCCTCCAATATAATCCTCTCAAGCCTATGTAGTTTCATCAGATAACCTTCCCCCACCTCCTGTATGCTCCTTACCTTGGTTTTAAGTGATATCATGACTTTGGTGAGCCCTGTATCTCCCTTGATCACTACCCTTCTCCCTTCCACCATCAGCTCCATCGTCAATGCTCCCCAATTGATCTTCGTGTGCCTCAAGGTCTGGAGCTACTTCATCCCTAAGATGACATCAGTGCTCCCTAACTCCAATGAGAGAAAATCCTGCCTAACCTAAACCCCCTGTATGATCAACACTACTCCCCTAATTATCCCCTGACCCGTCTCCACCTTCCATGTACCCACATCACTCCATAAAACCCTGTATCCACCAATGTCACCCCCAATTGGTCCCAACTGTCAATCAACACCACCACCTCCAAGTCTTTTATTTCCCCCTTCACCTTTATGGTATGATTCAGAGTGAATCCCACCGCTAAATTCAGGAAAACCTGCATCACGTCCAGATGCAGCTTGTCCTCCATCTCTCTCTCTCTCTTTGATACTCTCACCTCACTCCTCAGTTTTCTCGTCATCATAGAAGGTGAAAACCTGAAGAGTTCAATCCCTACACTTGTACTATGGAGTATACTTTTCATCACATATCAAGCATAGTCCCTTCGCCCTCTTCTCCTGAAATTCGGCTCTTCTCCTGCATCTCCCTCTCCGTTAGTCTTTTGAAGTTCCCCCACTTCCTCTTCCTACTGGATTATCCCTAGGAGTCTCATTAATGTTGCCTAATTCAGGCCCCTTTGGTCCTAGAAGGGTGGTTGTCATCCTGTAAAAGCCGCCTGAACTGTTGCCTCTGGCTCCCCTCCTCGTACTTTTAATCATCTACTAGTTGTACCAGCTCCATAACCTCCCCCAAGTCATGAGTCCTCATGACCCTCACTGCTGCTTGAATATCAGATTTGAACCACTTCATAAAATTACCCTCTAGAACTGTCTCTAATAATCGATCCAAATGGCTTGTCAGGTACTCATATTTCTCCCGATAATCTGCCACTGAACCGTCCTGCACTAGTACAAAGAACTGCTCATATAAGTCCCCTCCCCTGCTAGTTCGGAAACGTTCCAATAAGCATTCCTTGAACTCCCTCCTACTCTGTATGGGCCTCCTCATATCTCTCCACTGGTACCAAGACAACGCCTTTCCTTCCAAACATAAGCACGCCTTTCCATCCAAACATAAGTCAGTGGCCGTGAATTTTTCCTCACCCATCAACCCATTGACGGAGAAATATCTATCCACCTTGTAGATCCACCCATGTGCATCCTCCCCTTCAAAAATGGGCATCTTCAGCTTCCGCACCTTCGGATCACTCCTGTTTCTCCGGATTCCCTCATAATTTTTCATATTCCTAAGTGTTTGGTCCTCCCCAAGTCTACTGATCTTCTCTTACACGCGCATCTTCAAATCCCTCTTCACTTTCTCCCTTCCTTTCACCAAAATTAGTACCCTTCCTACCATAAGTTCCCTTTTTTTCTCTCCCAAACAACACCGTTGGTTCATGCCCACACATATCCACACCTCACTCCATACCTTCCCCCTTTCCTCCTCCATGATCTCCACATCATTTTCCCTCCTACAAAATTCACAATTTGTAGTTCTTCCCACCAGTCCATTTGTCTCTGATGCCGCCGTTTGAATTTGATTTTCCAATAGCTTCTTCACCATCGCATGAAGATAGGAAACTTTGTCTTCCACAAATGAAAACCTTGTCTTCTACGGATGAAATTTGATCTTCCACCGTCGCTTTTATTTGGCCCATCTTCCCTTCAAGGTGTTCCTCCAAAGCATCTACCTTCTTGGCCACCAACAATACCCAAAAATTTTGTAGGTTCAAATAATCTGGATTTTGATCAAAAACAGCGAAAAATTCATCCTTCTGGCCGAAAATCATTGTTGTTTTTTCAAAAATCAGCCCACAATTGGTCCCAAAATCCGGTCTGATACAAATTTGTTAGGAAATACTTGAGAAATCCAAGTAATCCCTAACAAGAGAGATGAAAACAGCAAACGAATAAGATTCGGATGGAAAATTTCAGCAAAAAAACACCTTAGATTGAAGGAAATTAACTAAACGAAGAAACAAAATAAGATACAATTGATCATCAATTCGAGAGGAGGATTTTCTCTCCTAATCCCTAGATGAAATCTAGGGCCCAAGACTCCAAGACAAGTACTCCCAAAATAAGTAATCAAACATGCATAACCCTAACCCTATACAACTCATTTATTTAATACATTAATTCCCTAATTTAAATCTTAATTCAAATTCCCATTGCATGCCTAGCCACCCCCCCCCCCTCTCTTTCTCTAATTGGCTCCTAGTGGGGCCCACTTGTTTGGGTAAAAACTACAGCAAAGAAGGCGACATTTGTCCGCCTTCTATAAACAAGAGCTGGCCTTTGAAAACTCTTCATAATTTTTATAATCCAAGACTAATTTCAAAAATTCATAAAGAAGACGCAATTTATAGAAAAACTAAAACCTAATTAAAGGTAAACAATACTTATCTTTTGATATATTCAAACTAATTTAAAAAATATAATAAATAAATGAAAATTCGGCCAAAATTAATAATGGGCCAAGAATCTTTTGCAATTGGGTTTGGTTCAGCTCTTTTATTGCCTGGTTCGTATCCACAAATTTGGCTCAAGAGAAATTTAAATTTTTATGAACAAATTGGCTAATGACATCAGACGTCGATGATGCGTCCAAACATTAAACTATATTGAGGGATTGCCAATTGGTACATTTGGACGTTTGTGAGTGCATTTTATATCCACTTAAGCAATAAAGGCATAAGAAGTTGATGATTTACCAATTGATTTCATCCAGCCAGCAAAACTTTAATAGTACCATAATAATAACAGAAAATAAATTAGAGAATGAAAAAATGTGCTGGAAAGTACAAATTCTTTAGAGGAAGGTCTTGCAGAACTTCAAGGGTCCCAGATATCTTATTATCCTGTACATGCCTGCAAAATCAATCACCTCATATAAATAGAAAATACAGGTTAAAAAGATGGCAAAGCGATAGTTTGTTTTGAAGTGAAGAACTAACAGTGTGGTCAGCGATGCCAAACTTGCCATTGAAGGAGGCAGTTGACCACTTACGTTATTGGAAGAGAAATCCCTGCAATGTCAAAATCCTTACAATGTTGAGCCCTGATAAAACTAGGAAAATCTCAACAAAAATAATGAAGAAGCTTACAGATTTATCAAACCAGTGAGAGACTGGAACGCGTCTGGCAATTGTCCACTTAAATTATTGGCATTAACTGACCTATAATATAAAGGAAAAAAAGGCCATAAGGAAATAATAGAAATGTGAATGAAAAACATTCTCTCTCTCTCTCTCTCTCTCTCTCTCTAGAAACAAAAACATTAGCTTACATGTCAGAAAGAAGTGTCAGTCTTGACAAAGAACTTGGGATGTTTCCTGTAAATTGGTTGGCTGAAAGAAAACTGCCAAACAAATACCATCACAGAAATTCTTATTAAATTATAAATAAAAGGTTACATAAAATCAGCTAACTGACTACTATATCAAAAAATAAAAATAAAAAACAGGTGAATTTTTCAGCCATACAATCCTTTCAAGGTAACTGGCAGATTTTCTGGTATAGTTCCACCAATATAATTATTACTGAAATCTCTGTTGTGAGAAAGAAAAGAAACCAGAAATTAGTCAAAGGGCAAAAAACAAAACAAGGTGCTCAGCTCCGAGTAAAAAGTGGTCTACATCACGGGAGAAATGAAAGAAGAAATCATTTGGAAATAATAAACATGAGCATCAAAGAAGAGAGTATAACGCACCCTGACTTACATTGTCACTATTGAAGAAAAATTTCCCAAATGGTCGCCTAATTGACCACCCAAATTTGCACCATTCATAATTCTGCAGAAGGAAAATTAATTATATTGTAGATAACTGTTGAAGAAAATTTACAAATGTGAGAAGTTTAAAAGAGCAAGTATTAGAACAAAAAATATCGTACACTGATGTGATATTTGGGCCAACACATTGGATACCCTGCCAGCCCTCTGTGCAGGGATCGCCTCCATTTGCGACCCATCCAGGAAGAGGAGGTGATCCCAATGCGGCATATAAGCTATTTATTGCAAAAACTGAAAAGGAACCACTATTAGAAACTATAATCATTAATCACAAAAAAGAATTCACTGCCTGAACCTGCGAATTGAAGTATAAAAAAAAAAAAAAAGATAACCAGCGATTTGAAGTTAAAAAAAAGATGACCTGACAAGAATTTCGAAATTTATAGCTCTGGAAACCAACATTTTCAGAAGACCAAATCACCGGAAAAGAGATTGGATGATCTTCTTTGGATGATCGTCTAAATATGATGGGATCAAGGAGAAGATCACCTACCTCAAAGCAATAATTTGTGTTCGCTTCTAATGCAGTATCCGCAAGACAAGTATTTTGAAGTCCAACTAAAATAGTCGGATAACGTGTATATTTATATTAGTTCAGAAAGGAACCAAAATAATTAGTGTGAACCTCAACACCTAGGAAGTAAGAACATCAAGATTTGTCCTATGAAATGTGGCTTAAAGATGTTGTTGCAGATGCCTAATCAAAGCCAAATATGTTCTAGTAATAATGATGCCATCAGCATAAACTAGAAGAAGAGTAAATCCCACTAATATTTATAACGAAATAATGAAAAATCATAAGGACTCTACTAAGCTAAGAAATAAATTAGAGCTGACCAACATTTATCAAACCATATAGGGGGGTCCTATTGCAATCCGTGTAGGGAATGCTTCAGTATGCATAATTATGTAGTGAAAAGTTGACCTGTCCAATGAACAGGTCTAGCCGTTCCGACAGGACCGGCTTAGGCGGAACTCTTCTGCCTCCAGGAAGAGCCGCACAATCCGCAGGCTCCAAGGGAGCTGAATAGGAAGGAGTTTTGGGGGAATTAAGAGGGAGATTTGAATGTAGTGACTGTTTAGGGATTTCCTTTTGATTTGTATGATTTAAATAGTTTGTTTTCCTAGGGTTAGGGCATCTTGAATTTGGCTGAAATTTGAAATCTCTTAGATTTAGGTTTTCTTTTGGGCTCTAGCGACGTCTAGAGATTTGGGAGAGATCGATCTTCCTCTCGAATAGAGGATCAATTGTATCATGTTATTTTTCGTTTCCCTTTCATCAAATAATACAAATTATCTACTGTTTTTGTGGTTTTGTGCAGATTTTTGTGGAGAATTCTCGTTGTTTGACAAAGATTGATAGGAAATACTTGAGATCTACGAGCGTTCCCTATAAAATTGGTATTAGAACACGTCGATCTAATGGGGAACCAATGGCCGGAAGGAAAGTGGAAGTTTTGGAGGGAGAACTTGGGCAACTCAAAGCAGAGTTTGAGGAGAAGATTGCTGATTTTCAAAATCAGATCGCATCTGTCAATGAAAGGATTGAGAAAAAGTTCACCATGGTGGAAGACATGTTGAAGAAATTGCTTGAAGCCAAAACCAAACCGACAACATCGGAAGCAAAGGAAATTATCAACGTCCATGGAAGAGGTGGGAACCCTAAGACATTTAGGGGAAGGGAAAATCTAGAAGTGGAGATCGTGGAGGAAGACGATGAAATGCCTCATCTAGAACCACTTTCTAGGGAGGAGATGAGCATTGGCTACGCAAGGCGAGGTGCTGAATTTGTAAGGAGATGTGATGATTTTGATCGTTGGGGTGCTAATTTTTAAAGAAGAATAGCGGATTTTAAGGAAAGCATTGGGTATGAACGTCAAAGGGAAGAGCGTGACGATTGGGGGGCACCTCCTCTTCGAGGAATGGGAGGCTATGGAGGATTCAGGGGAAATGGAGGTGACCCGAAACTGAGAAAGCTGAAGGCGAGGACACACATGGGAGGATCTACAAGATGGAGTGATACTTTGCAGTCAACGGGCTGATAGAGGAGGAGAAATTGACAACGGCAGGACTGTGCTTAGAAGGGAAGGCATTGGCATAGTATCAATGGCAAGACATGAGGCGACCCATTCGGAGTTGGAGGGAGTTCAATGATTGTTTGGCAAAACGTTTCCGAAATGACAAGGGATGAGACTTCTACGAGCAGTTCTTCGCCTTGATGCATGAGGGTTCAGTGACGGAGTACCAGGAGACATTTGAGTACCTTGCTAATCGATTGGACCGCCTTCCTGAGATAGTGCTAGAGGGAAATTTCATGAAGGGACTGACACCAGAGATCCGAGCAGTGATTAGAGTAATTAGGCCTTGTGACTTGGGAGAGGCCGCGGAGCTAACTCAATTGATGGAGGATCAGAGGCACCTGGAAAGCTAGATGGGAGGCAGCAGCTCAGGAGGTCCGAACAGGAGGACCATGACCTTTCTAACACCCAAGGAGTCGACACTGGGTACTCTTCGGGAGACTTTGAAGGAGAAGGTGGTGGGAGTAAGACTTGGGGACAACTTCAAGAAGCTCGCAGAAACGGAATTAGAGGAAAAGAGGGCGAAGGGGATCTGCTTCAGATGTGACGAGAGGTATATGCCGGGGCATAGGTGTAAGGACAGAACTCTTCAGGTTCTTACCATTTGTGATGCAAAACGAATGGAGGAGGGTGTCATCTTTCCACCTTGCGGACAAGGTGGATCTTTGAGAGGGGAGTATTGTTAGACCGGTCTATCCGGTCCGACAGGACCAACTTACGCAATTTGAGGCGAAACTCTCCTCCCTCCAAGAAGAGTCGTAGGATCCGCAAACTCCAAGGAAGCTAAATAGGAAGGATTTTTGGGGGAATTAAGAGGGGAATTTGAATGTAGGGACTGTTTGGGGATTTCCTTTTGATTTGTATACATTAAATAGTTTGTTTTTTATGAGGTCATCGACAGACATTTTAGACAGGTCTACCGACGAAGGAATCGTAGATCGACGGCTATGATTAGGAGCTTATATTTCTGATGTTTTCCATGTATCTTTTAATTTCAGTTTTTCAGTTTACTATTTTGCCCTTATGGATGTTTAGTCATCGTTGTAGCCCTTTGGGCATTTGAGTCATGTTATTTTTCTTTTGATGAGACCTATATAAAGAGGTCTTCTACTTTGTATGAGGTTAATGTTTGATTAATAAAAATTTCTGTGATTTTCATTCTCCTTCTTGCTTGAGAGCTTGAGAGAAAGAGAGGAGACCCAGGAGAGGCTCCACCCGGAATATCCAACAGCCCACAGAGGTGAGCTCTTGGTTTTATTTTAATTTTTATGTTTTCTTCTTTCCCCAGCAACCCCCCCATCCACCCGACCCCTTCCCCTTCCCTTTTTTCTGTCTCCCTGCAGTGACCCAGCCAAATCCCCCCTGAACCCGCCGACTTCCCCTCCCTCCTTGCCACCGGCTGTGCCAGCCGCCGGCCCAAGCCAGCCCGCACCCCCTAGCTAAGCTCCTCCTCCCTGAGCAATCCCGCCGCCCCCCTCCCTGTGAATTTTGAATTTCAAAATTGAATCCCTCATTAACTCTTTCCTAATTTACTTCCCCACAATTAGGCAAGGGATTTAATTGAGGCCCAATCTATTTTGAATTCAAATTCAAATCCCTCCCTTCTCTCCCCTCATTTGGAAACTTTCCTAAATTAAATTAAATCTGAAATTCAAATCAGATTTGAATTAATTTCCTTGGCCCCACCAATTAATCTCAATTCCCCTTTTTTTCTCCTAGCATGGCCGGCCACCCTCTTAGTCGTTTCTCTCTCCACTCGCCACCTCAGCCTCCATTAATTAGCCAATTAATACCCCTAACAGCCACCCCTCTCTCTAGCCTAATTTAGGGAGATTTTAATTGCAAATAATCTCTCCCTCTAATAAAAGAAAATATGAAATTCAAATTCAGATTTTCTCCAAACAAGATCTCCACCCAAATCCCAACTCCTAGCTCATCCACCCCCTTCTCCTCCCCGCTCCACCGACGGCATTCCCCTTCCTCTTCCAAGGTCTCGGCTCCATCACCCATCCCTCTCCCTAGCTCACGGCAAGCTCCTCCATCTTTCTATTTCTTCGTCCCATTCAATCCCACTATGAATGGAGGATCCCGAATTTGAAAGTGGACTCGTATTCGACTCCTACAGAAACATCCACATTCTTCGATCTCCATTCTTCGACGTGGGGTTTGACCACGAAGACACGGTTGAAGACTAATTGGATCGAATCCTCCCCACACTTGTGCACGTCATCGACGGCCAATTCCAAGACTACGTGTGGACAATCACCGGACGCCATCCACCACCACCTCCACCGGCGGCTACCTCTCCGATAACGAAGTCCTTCTCCTTCTCCGTAGTGGTGCTCTCCATCCTTATATGGTTCTTTCTCCTCCGCTAAAGCCAAGAGTGAATGAGTGAGAAGGTGCTCGAGGTGAATTTTAACCGGACACAATGGCGAAAAAGTATTCATGTAGCCGACCCCACATAGTGGGACAAAGGCTTGATGTTGTTGTCGTTGTTGTTGCCATATTTCAGGATTTTTGAGGGACTTCCAACTTGTGGGTTTTGTAGCTATAGATATGAAACCTCTAGGAATGCAAGGAATCAAACTCATGTATGTCATGATTGAATGTGACTTCTTCGAGTGCAGTGCAAATGCAGGTTGAGTTCTACCAAGACTTTTGTATAACATTTGAACATAGAATCATATTAGCAACACCATCCATCTATTCATTTTTTTGTGATACACGTCCACCCTAAACCCTAAGTAACATCATCCCTCAAAACATTGCAAACCAAATAAATTTTGTATTTCAATATGATTATATAGGAATTTAACATTGCCATTCACAATAGAATATATGCATGAGCTAAGAATGGGTCAGTCAGCATGAGAAGCATTCAATTAGAGCGCGTGCAAGAAGATTTTAAGTATTGAACAAATGCATAAAGCAACAAATAGAACTACTAGCAGACAATCTAACATACCATCTTGCTCAGTTGTGAAACTGAGGGAAAGTGGCAGAGCTAAGATCACCATCAAAGCCACAACCGAAACAGGAGAGATCCTAAAGAGCCTTCTTCTCACTTCTCTTATCATAACGCTCAGAAATAGAGGTCAAACACCTTGTTCTGAGACAGCAAAACAAGGTTATTTATGCATATGGAAAAAAGAGAAAAGAATCAATTACAGAGATAGTAAAAACAAACCAGAGAAATAAAAGCGTAAGTATGGCGCTGAAAATTTTATCAAGAAATTCAAGGGAATTCAACTCCCAATATCGCACAAGAAATACAAAAATTAAAATTACAATGTTCTAAAAATCCACATAAACTAAGTCGTCATTCGGTAAGTTATTCCTTGAGAACTATCATATTTAAATTTAAACAATAACGGAAGTCACTTCAGGACGTTGGCTCCACAAAATCATTCAAATCCTGCTTTAAAAGCGACAATAAAATAAAGCGTTCTATTTCGATTTCCTTAACTCAAAAGAAATTCAAGAAAATTTTCTTTGAAGCACGGACATTTCATTTCAGAAGCTCGGAGATCCAGGCACAAAAATCGGTAGCAATCTCAAATGCCGCAAAATCCTTCTTGTGAAAGCAGCGAAACACAGAGACGGGCAAAAAGCGCAATTCTTCTAAAAAAAACAAAAAATTTACTTCAAATTGAACTTTTTTGTTCACATGTAAAGTGATAGAAAAATCAAGACAAGAAACCTAAGGGATCTTTCTGACCAATGCAGTGAGGAAGGCTCACCTTGGAGTCAGGGCTCAAAGCTTGACTTAGCTGCTAAGATTCCGCCAGCTCTGTAGATCTCTCAGGGATAAAGGAGAGCTCGATGGCAAAGACAGAGAGAGAAAGTTGGGGCAAAAAGACGCAATGGACAAAGCAAAAGAACTAATTAGTAGATGAGTAGAAGGAACTCTTTTTCCTCCTCTGTGGAATCTTGAAGCTACAGAGAGAGAGAGAGGATGAGCAGATGGCTGTAAATGCGCAAGCCACCCTTTTTTTCTTCTACCTTTTTTTTATCTAATAAAAGTAACCTCATAAAACAAGCTAGCTTTCTGCTTAGCGATAATCGCCCGCTTCTCTCTCTCTCTTCCTCTCTTCCCCCTTAAGGATTTTTTTTATTTTTTTGTTAATTTTTCATAATTTTATTTTTCAGCTAGAAATTACAGAACAACATGCTATAAATTTTTTTTAACATTTTTTTAATTTCATTTAACCCATTTTCACTTCCCACTTGCAAGAAAACTCGAAGAAAGGATGGGAGATAGGAGCAAGAGAAAGAGAAGCGAGAGAAAGAGGAATTTAGATTTTGGAGGCCATTGAGTGGGATTCATTTGTCGGGCCAATTAAAGGAATTGCTCGTATCGAGGTAGGCTCTCAACACCCTCTTTTTTTCAATTTTGATGTTTGTACAAATATACTTGAAATAAAATGTGATTTTATTAAGTTTAAAGAATTTTTCATTGTATAGGTTTTTGTACGTTCCGACCCCACGTAGTGGGATAAAGGCTTGATGTTGCTATTGTTGTTGTTGTATAGGTTTTTGTACGTTGTTGAATATTTCGTTATGTTCATTCTAATAGTAGGAAAGTAAATTTTTACTGATTTGTTTTATCTGTATAAAGTATTAATTGAGCATTTTATGATGTATGTGATATTTCTAACATTGGTTATAATTCACTAAGTGATTTAAAATAATATTTTAAATGTTTTTTATGAATGTATAGTATTTTGGATCGCAAATGTTGAGTATGTTTGCAAATTTTACACATATTCTCCTGAAATATCGTGCATGTGGCGATTCAAGCATGTTCAACGTTCATGTTAAATGATGTATATTGATGCTAAACATGTTAATATTTGTATATGCATATGACGATAATTTTTTTAAAAATTTTTGGGCTTTTTCCCCCCCCCCCCCCCTAAATTTTTTTTTTTCCTACTTTTATCAATCCTAAGTATATTTGTCCATCCCTCATAATTTTTTTTTTTTTTGCCCACCCTAAATAAAGAAGCTGGATCCGCCCCTGATAATATTATAGATGTTCGAGTGCACTATATGTAATGTATCTATTTATGTATTTATTCTTGTTTTTTCCGTCTGCCTTATGCAAGTGTGAGATAGTCAAGTGAAGTTATAAGTAGAAGTGGAATTAGAAGAATCGGACTATGTTCGCACCACTTGCCTTATGTAGTGTGAGCTTATCAAAGGATATGTAAGTAGAATTAGCATTATGTATAAGCACAGAAACCTTATATTTCACTTTTAAAAATAAATAATTAAAACGAATGACCTCAGCTTCTGAAGAAACGTCTGGGCAAGTGCTAATGGTTAATTAATTAACCTTCAACTACTCTTCTAAATAACCTTTTCAGAATCCTAATCTAAGTTATTCCCGTTTGACTGGACCGTTTTCCGATTATATTTTAAAAAGGTCGGAGAATTTGATGAAACTTAAGAAGATAATGACAAACGTCATCCATCTAATTAGCTATAGACATATTTGGCACGTTTTTATTGGTTGCAACTTCTGTGAAAATTATGAGCAACTACAAAAAAATATTTCATTATCGGCAGCCCATATCCGTCAGAAATCGAAAATTTCATCATAAAATGTGCATTTCCGGCGGAAATGTAGTCGGCGCTAAAACGTGCGTCAAAAACCTTTTTCTGGCTGAATTTTTCCACCTGAAATATTTTCGATGGAATTCCGGTGGAATTGTGTGGCAATATTCGTCGTTTACGAGGCACTCTTATCAACAGTTTATTCGCCAAACATAGACCGGCAAATATTTCAGGCTTTACCGACGGTTTTTCCACCGAAAACATTATGGCGGTTTATCTGCCGAAAAACCCGTCACTAAGTTACCGATGGAAAATCCGCCACTTGCACTGCCGCTTCTACCGGCAGATATAATTCCGCTGGTATACCAAGGTTTTTGTGCGGCGACCTTTAAATTCCCTCATTTGGTATTCTTCTTCTGACCATAGGCAACCTCTTTTTTTGGGTACATTTAGTCGACCGTAAAATGTGTCATAAATCTTTTCCTACTGATTTACCGATAGAATTCCTGTGGAATTGTGTTGCAATATTTGTTGTTTACGAGGCACTCTTATCGTTGGTTTATCCGCCGGAAATTCTGCCTGAAAAATTCCGCCCGAAGTTTTGGCGGATAACTCGTCGAAAATTTCTGTCAGATATAGACTGGCGGATATTTATGACTCTGCCAACGGTTTTTCTTTCAGAAATTTTCCAGCGATTTATTCGCTGGAAAATTTTCCACTAAGTTACTGACGGAATATCCACCAGTTACATGAAAAAATAATTAATTAAAACTAATTAATGACCTCAGTTTCTAAAGAAACTTCTGTGCAAGTGCTTAATGGTTAGTTATTTAATCTTCAACTACTCTCCTAAATAACTTCTTCAGAATACTAACCTTAAAGATTCCCATATTTCAGGCTTTACCCATGACTTTTTCACCAGAAACATTATGACGGTTTATCTGCCGAAAAACCCGTCACTAAGTTACCGACGGAAAATCCGCCACTTACACTGCCGCTTCTACCGGCAGATATAATTCCGCTGGTATACCAAGGTTTTCGTGCAACGACCTTTAAATTCCCTCATTTGGTATTCTTCTTCTGACCATAGGCAACCTCTTTTTTTGGGTACATTTAGTCGATTATAAAATGTGTCAGAAATCTTTTCCGACTGATTTACCAATAGAATTCCTGTGAAATTGTGTTGCAATATTTGTTGTTTACGAGGCACTCTTATCGTTGGTTTATCCGCCGGAAATTCTGCCTGAAAAATTCCGCCCGAAGTTTTGGCGGATAACTCGTCGAAAATTTCTGCAGATATAGACTAGCAGATATTTATGGCTTTGCCGACGGTTTTTCCACCAGCAATTTTCCAGCAGTTTATTCTCTGGAAAATTTGTCACTAAGTTACTGACGGAATATCCACCAGTTACATGAAAAAATAATTAATTAAAACTAATTAATGACCTCAGTTTCTAAAGAAACTTCTGTGCAAGTCCTTAATGGTTAGTTATTTAATCCTCAACTACTCTCCTAAATAACTTCTTCAGAATACTAACCTTAAAGATTCCCGTTTGACATGATTGACCTCCAAACATATTTAATTATTTTTTTGAGCTGGAGAACTTTATAAAACCTTCAGAAAGTTATGAGAAATCAGATTTATTGTTTGCAAGATGGTTAGTATTAGGTGAGCATTTAGTTGAGTTTGAGCCATTCGATTTTTTATTTAAATTTTAATTTCATTTAAATTTAGCTTAAAATCTTAATATATTTAATTGATTAGATATGATTTGATGTTGAGCCAACTCAAAATTAATTTACAATTATTCATTTGAAATGGATAAAATATATATATTCTTCAAAATTCATTTAAATTATTTTTCGAGCGAGTCATAAATTTAAAATTGATTTGAAATGATATTTATTTTATAATTCGACTTATTTCTAGTTAGAAAATTTGCATCGGTAGAGTTTATATTTTAGATCTCCATTTTGAATAAAATTTATGACATACACAAAAAATATATATTTTTTTTTTTTTAATTTTCATCCAACCAAATCGTCCTGCATCATATTTAATATAATTTAAATTTTCAAAGGACAATAATTAATATTATCATTTTGTTGACCAAAAATAAAGCCTAACATTAATATCGGGTTATAATGGAGCGGAAATAATGCAAAAACCATAATTTCTCCGAAAAACAAAAATAAATCAAAGCCACCATCTTTTTAATATATTTCAACATCATATGATTTTAATAAAAGCGTTCAATAGCCATTATAATTTCATAATTATTATGAATGTTTGAAAACTTTTTAATTAACACAAACTAATTATAATTAAGTGTTTATGATTTTAGATTAGATGGTGATTAGAAAAAAGTAATTAATATGTACGGAATCACTGTATTAAAAAAGAAAAAAAATTTATTTCTTTTAAAATAAATATACGATAAGGTCATATTTTATTAAAATTTATTCTGAATAGTAAGATCACGTGCTTTAAAAAAATATTCTATGAGATTAGCTTATCGGATTATAATAATAATCCAGCCACCATTTTTGAATAGTCCGTATTTATGGGGACCGTCGCTGAACAGAATTCTTTCCGCACACATTGGCACCCAAAGTAGGTGGGTTCAGTCGTGGGTGCCCTAGAAGATTATTAATATGGTGGCATCCAAAGTAGCAACTTTTATTAGGTCAGGACACCTGATGTAGCTCTACATTCGGACGCCAATAAAATGTGGCAAAGTGCTCTTACTCTTTACCTCGCGGCCAGACGACTTGCCCTGGACCGGAACCCGATATTACTATGTTTGTGTATTGCTCGGTATTACTCGGTATTGCTAGAAATTTCTTGGCAATAACGAGAAATATCGCTCTTTAAAGACCAATACCGAGCAATACCTACCAATACCGAGCAGTACCTAGCAAAATCGGGGTATTGCTCGGTATTGCTAGGTATTGGTCTTGACATAATGGTATTTTTTCGTTACCGAGCAATATCTAGCTATACTCGGGTCTGCACAAATCAGCTAATACATAGTCATATCGGGTTCCGGTCCGGGCCGGGTCATCAGGCCGTGCGATAAAGAGTGAGAGCACGTGATGACATTTTATTGGCATCCGGATGTAGAGCTACGTCAGGTGTCATGACCTAATAAAATTTCCCAAAGCAGGGATAATTATTCTGTGTGGTTACCAGATGGTTTGGGGATGAATCATGATAAGTCACGTCACTAGGTACACATCAGTACATAATACCGGTACACAACTAAAAAGTAACGTTGTGTGTCCTGATTCTCCTCCGCACGACATCCTGTGATTACACAAAATAATTTCACCAAAGTATATGGTTTCACTAGTTGGTGCCCTCGAAGATTATTCATCGCGTGTGAAAAGGGCTATGCCACATCATTTGTTTTCCTCGTAAACTTCGATGCGGTCCCATTTGGCACTGTCGCCAAGCCTCGCTTAAAAGCATTGACGGTAAGGACGAACAAAATTTTAA